AAAACATGTTTGAAATGGAAACTACATCGAGAAGCTTCGATGTTGCAATTAGGTTCCGCGTCAAAATTGCAAAATCCATATTTCCTTGCAAAAGTGTACCATTTTAACCATGTTCTACGTTTCTTGTTGTGAAAAGATGGCTGTGTATATTAAGAAAACAAGGCAAAATATAAGCCCCGCCCACCCACCCTGTCGCAATTCTGATGATTTTTTTTTTTATTCGTCATGAGCCAAGAAGGCGGAGCTTAACTGCAAAATCATTATGTATTTACGAGAAATTAAAAACATGTTTTTGAGTATCGTGTTCAAAGAATACCATATATATAAAGAAAAAAATGAAGCCAAAGATTAGGCCCAACCCATACCTGCCCCGATCTCAATTCTCAATTGTGATAAATTTTTCATTCGTTGTCATATCGAGGGGCGGGGCTTAATTGCAAGATCCATATTTGTCTACTAGAATTTACAATTTTAAACGTGTTTTAAGTTTCTTGTTCTGAAAAGACGACCACGTATATTAAGAACAAAGGAAAATATAAACCCCGCCCACCCGCCCTATCTCAATTGTGGCGATTTTTTTTTTAATTTTCGAGTGCCAGAGCAGCGGAATTTAATTGCAAAATCCTTATTTCTTTAGAAGAAATGACCATGTAAATTCAGAAAAAATTAAAGCCAAAGATTAAGTCCGACTCATACCTGCCACGATCTAAATAGTAATGAAGTTTTCATACGTTGGTAGACCTAGGGACGGCGCAGCCTAATTGCAAAATCCACATTTCCTTACGAAAATTTACCATTTTAAAGCAGTTTCAACTTTTTAAGAATAAACAAAATCATCAAAATTGGGATGGGTGGGCGGGGTTTATATTTTGCCTTTTTTTATATACATAGTATTCTTTGAATACCACACTCAAAAACATGTTTTTAATTTCTTGTAAAGAAATAAGTATTTTACAGTTCAGCTCTGCCCCCTTGGTTTACGACGAATAAAAAAATTATCACAATTGAGATAGGGCGGGTGGGCGGGCTTCCATTTTGCCTTTTTGTTTTAATATGTGTAGACTTCTTTCACAACATGAAACTTAAAACATGTTCAAAATGGAAAATTTATATGTGTGGAAATTTAGATCTTGCAATTAGGTTCGGCCCCATAATAACAAAATCCACATTTCCTTGCAAAAATGTATCATTTTAACCATGTTCTAAGTTTCTTGTTGTGAAAAGATGGTTGTGTAGATTAAGAAAACAAGACAAAATATGAGCCCCGCCCACCCACCCGGTCTCAATTCTGATGATTTTTTTTTTATTCGTCGTGAACCAAGAAGGCGGAGCTTAACTGCAAAATCCTTATGACTACGAGAAATTAGAAACATGTTTTTGAGTATCGTGTTTAAAGAATACCATGTATATTAAGAAAAAAATAAAGCCAAAGATTAGGCTCCTCCCATACCCACCGCGATCTCAATTCTCAATTGTGATGAATTTTTCATTCGTTGTCAGATCGAGGGGCGGGGCTTAATTGCAAGATCCATATTTGTCTACAAGTATTTACCATTGTAAACATGTTTTTAAGTTTCTTGTTCTGAAAAGACGACTACGTATATTAAGAAAAATGTAAAATATAAGCCCCGCCCACTCGCCCCATCTCAATTGTGACGATTTTTTTTTAATCGTTGAGAGCCAAAGGAGCGGAATTTAATTGTTGCCAAATTCTTATTTCTCTAGAAGAAATTACCACGTAAGACATGTTTTTGAGTATCCTGTTATTCAAAGAATACATGTATATTAATAAAAAATTAAAGCCATAGATTTAAGCCCCACCCATACCTGCTCCTATTTAAATAGTAATGAAGTTTTCATTTGTTGGCAGACCTAAGAGCGGCGGAGCCTAATTGCAAAATCCATATTTTCTTACAAAAATTACCATTTTAAACGAGTTTAAAATTACTAAGAATAAAAAAAGATTATTACAATTGGGAGGGGTGAGTGGGTGGGTTTTATATATTGCCTTTTTTTTTCTTAATATACATAGTATTCTTTGAATACCACACTCAAAAACAATTTTTAATTTCTTGTAAAGAAATAAGTATTTTACAGTTAAGTTAAGCTCTGCCCCCTTGGTTCACGGTGAATAAAAAAAAAATCATTAAAATTGAGATAGGGCGGGTGGGCGGGCTTCCATTTTGCCTTTTTGTTTTAATATGTCTAGACTTCTTTTCACAACATGAAACTTAAAACATGTTTTAAAATGGACAATTTATATGAGGAAATTTCGATGTTGCAATTAGGTTCCGCGTCAAAATTGCAAAATCCATATTTCCTTGCAAAAATGTACCATTTTAACCATGTTCTACGTTTCTTGTTGTGAAAAGATGGCTGTGTATATTATGAAAACAAGGCAAAATATAAGCCCCGCCCACCCACCCTGTCTCAATTCTGATGATTTTTTTTTATTCGTCATGAGCCAAGAAGGCGGAGCTTAACTGCAAAATCATTATGTATTTACGAGAAATTAGAAACATGTTTTTGAGTATCGTGTTTAAAGAATACCATGTATATTAAGAAAAAAATAAAGCCAAAGGTTAGGCCCCTCAAATACCCGCCGCGATTGTGATGAATTTTTCATTCGTTGTCAGATCGAGGGGCGGGGCTTAATTGCAAGATCCATATTTGTCTACAAGAACTTCCCATTGTAAACATGTTTTAAGTTTCTTGTTCTGAAAAGACGACTATGTATATTAAGAAAAAAGGAAAATATAAGCCCCGCCCTTTCTCAATTGTGACGATTTTTTTTTATCGTCGAGAGCCGAGAGGCGGAGCGGAATTACAAAATCGATATTTCCGTAAATAAATTTACCATTTTAAACATGTTTTAAGTTTCTTGTTTTGAAAATTTTTGTATTGGTCAAATTAAAAACGAGTCAATTACCCCATTTTCCCGAGAATGTGAGAAAACGCACGTCTTTATATCATAATAATAATGATACAATAAGAATTATAGTGTTCATAGCGTTTTGTTCGATTGTGGTTTAATTAATAACTTTAGTCCTCAGTTTTGAGAAGACAAACTCATTCAAATCAATAGAGAAATATGTATCTTGCAATTACGCTCCTCCCCTCGGTCAAACAACGAATGAAAAATTCATCACAATTGAAATTGGGGCGGGTGGATGGGGCTTAATATTTGTTTTTTTTTTCTTGTTGGGAAAGGAAGACTTCATATATTAAGGAAAAAATAGACCAAATATAAGCCCCGCCCACCCACCCTTTCTCAATTGTGATGAATGCTTTATTCATCGTGAGTTGAAGGGGGGAGTTCAGTGGCAAAATCGTCATTCCTCTACAAGAAATTACCATATGAAAGATGTTTTTAAAAGGGTAGAATTTTCTAGAGAAATAATATGTTACAGATAAACTCCGCTCCTCGTCTGATTAGAAATGAAAAACTCATCACAATTGAGCTTGGGGTAGGTAGGTGGGGCTTAATATTTGTTTTGTTTTTGTTTTTTTTTTCAATATATAGAATTTTCTTTCAACAACAGGATAGTTAAACATATTGTCAGTTTCTTGTTGGGAAAAAAAGACTTCATATATTAAGAAAAAAATGGACAAAATATAAGCCCCGCCCACCCACCCCTTCTCAATTGTGATGAATGCTTTATTCATTGTGAGCTGAAGGGCGGAATTTAGTGGCAAAATTGTCATTCCTCTACAAGAAATTACCATAAAGGATAGAATTTTCTAGAGAAATAATATGTTACAATTAAACTCCGCCCCTCGTCTGATTAGGAATGAAAAAACAAGACAAGATATATAATAGAAAATATAAAGTCAATCTATTTATTCAATAATTTTGGGCTGTACTCCTAATGTAAGTCATTTAGAATAACGTGTACTTTTTCCGTTTTTTTCGAAAAACTGAAGAAATAAAAAACTGAAAAATCTAAAAATTGAAAACTCGTGAAATTTAAAATCGAAAAACTGCAAAATCTAAAAAGTGAAATGTCCAAAAGTTGGAAAATCGGAAAACTGGAAAATTTAAAAATGGAAACTCGAAGAAATCGTAAAATTGAAAAGAAGTGAAATTGAAAAAACAAAAAATTATAAAATCGGAACATTGAAAAATTGGAAAAAATAAAAAATATAAAAAACTGAACCGAAAAATTCCAAAATGTAGAAATTGAATTGAAAACTTGAAAGATTAAATTTAAACTTCAAAACTCGAAAAAATTAACCATTGAAGAAAAAATTCAAGTCAAATAAGCGGGAGCATTATTTACGCCACTGGTTTTTACTTTATAGAGGTTATAAAACAAAAATGATAATTTTTCGAAGAAGTGGGATTTATTTAGCGGCACTTTGGGGGCGAGGGAAGTTCTGTTGAAACAACCTTCGACCAATTTTTTTTGGAAAATTTTTGGAGCATTTGAATTCACTTTACGTGTTTCATACCAATTGTTGAAATACATTTTTAGATCGGAAAATTTTGTCTCTATAACGTTTAATGCCGCATCACTTTGTGATTTCTTACAATGTGATTGGTATTTTCTGTGTTTTACTTAAAAAAAACTGGATTTGTTAGATTGTACTTCTGGGGCGTGGAAAGTTAATCTGGGGACTAGGAGACCAATTTTTTCTTAATTTTTAAATCAATTAAAATTATAGCGGCTTCCATAGACTTGATTTTTTTTCTATGGTAAATTTTATAAAATCTGCACAAATCCGGATTTAATATGATACGAAATAGACAAAGAGAATAGCTGGTCCATTGGAACTGTTATAGTGAACTGGTTGCATATCTTGAAACAAAAAAATTGACAGGTGTAGGGAATTTTAAGAACAAAAACTATGATCCCAAGTCAATTTCCCTCGTTTTAGGCGACATTAGGAATAGGAAGAACCAACCCACACGATCCCACCCTAATCATTCCAACATTGCTTATTCTACACTTTTCTCTAGTTTTTTGATTCGTTTTATTATTATTTACGCTATACTCCAGGTGCGACTTCTGCTCGAAGACGTTCACCCGGAAGGAACACCTCCTCAACCACGTCAGGCAACACACGGGCGAATCGCCGCACCGGTGCGGCTTCTGCAATAAGTCCTTCACCCGAAAAGAACACCTCATCAACCACGTTCGCCAACACACGGGGGAAACCCCGTTCCGGTGCAATTACTGTCCCAAGGCCTTCACCCGGAAGGACCACTTAGTCAATCACGTGCGCCAGCACACGGGGGAGTCCCCGCACAAGTGCACTTTCTGCACCAAGTCCTTCACGCGGAAGGAGCACCTCAACAACCACGTGCGCCAGCACACCGGCGAATCCCCGCACCGGTGCCATTTCTGCTCCAAGTCCTTCACCCGTAAGGAGCACCTCACCAACCACGTCCGCATCCACACCGGCGAGTCGCCGCACCGGTGCGAGTTCTGCCAGAAGACCTTCACCAGGAAGGAGCACCTCACCAACCACCTGCGCCAGCACACCGGCGAGACCCAGCACTGCTGCAACGTCTGCTCGAAGCCCTTCACTAGGAAGGAGCACCTCATCAACCACATGCGCTCGCACACGGGCGAGCGGCCCTTCGCCTGCACCGAGTGCGGCAAGTCGTTCCCGCTGAAGGGCAACCTGCTGTTCCACCAGCGCTCGCACAACAAGGGCGCCGCCGCCGACAGGCCCTTCCGGTGCGACCTGTGCGAGAAGGACTTCATGTGCAAGGGCCACTTGGTGTCGCACCGTCGCTCCCACAGCGGCGAGCGGCCGCACGCGTGCCCAGACTGCGGTAAGACGTTCGTCGAAAAGGGCAATATGTTGAGGCACTTACGGAAACATACCGTAGAGAACGGGGCGGCGAACGAGCAGCAGAATATCGCGCCGAGTCAGGTGCAGCAAGGGCAGAACAGCCAGGCGCAAGCGTCGGGGGCGGCGAGTCTGCAGATACCGCAAGTGAGTCAGACGCAGCAGACCGCCCCGAGTAATAATATCGTTACGCAATCGCCGCACTTGCCGATGCATACGCCGAGTAATCATCCCGTCGTCGTGCCTACTGCGAATGGTAACGTTCTGGCCAGCTATTAGGGGTTGGGGTGGACGAGTTCTAGTTCCTTTCGAGAGTGGTTGCCGGCCCTGTGAATAACAGTATTCCCTCCGTGAGTAGAAATAATAAGGCGGGAGAGAGTATATTTTGGTTAGGGGGTGGAGTTGCGGTTTGCTGAGGAGGTAGACGGTCAGGGCATGTCTGGGTCGAAACGGAGGCGGCTGTGGTCTTAAATTGTTTGAATTTGATGTTTTAAGTCATTGCGGAAAGTCGGAAATGACCGCAGACCGAGTGTGGAACCTTGAGAAACCAACCGGTGTAGATTCCACGTTGACAACTTGTTTACAAACAAATGAAAATCAAAATAGAGTTTTAATAGTTTTTTGGTCGAGTTAATTTGAGCTCGTGGGCGACTATGTGATCAAGATCATACTATCTATATGAAAATAATTTTAGTATATGCCAGTAAAAAACTACAACTTTGATCTCTTTTTTTTGTGTTTCTACCATTAATGAGAAATCGAGGACCGTGGCACATGGAGTTTTTATCTTCTCTGTTTCAACTCAATCAGGCTTTTCAAGTCTTTAATAATTGAAAATTGATATATTTCGATCAGTGGATGTCTACCTTAGTATTGCCGACAGGGAAAAATATCAAAATAGTGTCAGACAAAACATCAAAAGTGGGATATATATAATTGTAAAATGTTATTTCACCGTTAGTAATTTTGATACGATTATAAAAGAAATATTTAAACATGTACGGGGCGTTCCATTTAAATAAAACTAATTTATGTGTTATATATCAAAAACAAAACTGTCTAGTTGAAATTAATTTTGGTGTATGCTAGTTAAAAATTATAACTTTGGGTTATATTTTTTTTTGTATTTTCATAACTAATGAGAAATCTGAGATCACGCTCTTAGTGATTTAAGTAACATGTCGAACTATTATTTGATTTTGGTTATAAAGTCTAGGACAGAAGTCCGCAAACTGTTGCTCGGAATCACCGACAATGGGATCAGATCGTAGTGAGCTGTGAATACGTCAATTCATCCAGAGAAAAGACAAGCTATTTTCTAATTTTATCATCTTTGGTTAGCACATTGAATTTTTATCTTTCTCTTTGCTTCAACTCGCTGTGATACTTCAAGTCTTTAATAATTTAAAATTGATATGATATTTTTCGATTCCTGGATTTCTACATCAATATTATCGACAGGGAAAAAATCAAAACAGTGTCAGACATAACATCAAAAGTGGGATATGTATAATTGTAAAATGTTATTTCACCGTTAATAATTTTGATGCGATTATAAAAGAAAGTTTTTTGTTTTGTATATTTTGAAAAATATACAAAACAAATTTTTAAATAATACTATCCTTTATAACTATATTTTTGTCAACAAGTGAAGATAGGTTGTCATGGTAATATCTAATACTACGTTAAATATTGACTAACTTTATTGTTTCGTATTTTGAAACAACTAGACGTTACGTAAAAAAATTCTGCTTAGTGATTGATGAAAAAAGAATAACAATTTTGACCTGAATTAGTCCATCTGGCCTATATGTGTAATCAAATTGGCAAAATACATTGAAAATGTTCCATATACAGGGCAAGTCCTCATTAATTATTATTAGAAATAAAAAAATCTCTCATCAAAATTCTACAATTGTTTGAATAGCATATACTAAAATGATTTTCAACCATACAGTGTTTTGTCTTAAAGTCGTAACACAATTTGTTTTTATAATGGCAAACCCAATATATTTTTACTTGTTACTGGCTTTAAAAAAATGGAACAACGTTGCAACGTCGCATAGAAACTTCAAAAATAAACTGAGTTATAAAATCTTGAAAGAGACCAACGAGAATATGTAAACATATACGGGGTGTTCCATTTAAACAAAACTAATTTATGTGTTATACCTCAAAAACAAAACTGTCTAGTTGAAATTAATTTTAGTGTATGCTAGTTAAAAATTATAACTGGGTCATTTTTTTTTTTTTTTTCATAACTAATGAGAAATCCGGGATCACGCTCTTGGTGATTTAAGTAACATGTCGAACTATTATTTGATTTTGGATATATAGTCTAGGAGAGAAGTCCGCAAACTGTTGCTCGGAATCACCGACAATGGGATCAGATCGTAGTGAGCTGTGAATACGTCAATTCGTCCAGAGAAAAGACAATCTATTTTATAATTTTATGATCTTTGGTTAACACATTGAATTTTTATCTTTTTCTTTGTTTCAACTCGCTGTGACACTTCAAGTCTTTAATAATTTAAAATTGATATGATCTTTTCCGATTCCTGGATTTCTACATCAATATTATCGACAGGGAAAAATCAAAACAGTGTCAGACATAACATCAAAAGTGGGATATATATAATTGTAAAATGTTATTTCACCGTTAGTAATTTTGATACGATTATCAAAGAAAGTTTTAGACTTTTGCAAATGTCATTGTACCCCGATTTTGAAAAATATACGAAACAAATTTTTAAATAATACGAGCCTTTATAGCTATATTTTTGTCAACAAATGAAGATAGGTTGTCATGGTAATATCTAATACTACGTTAAATATTGAATAACTTTGTTGTTTTGTGTTTTGAAACAACTAGACGCTACGTAAAAAAATTCTGCTTAGTTACTGATGAAAAAAGAATAACAATTTTGACCTGAATTAGTCCATCTGCTCTCTATGTGTGATTAAATTGGCAAAATACATTGAAAATGTTCCATATACGGGGCAAGTCCTCATTAATTATTAGAAATAAAAAAATCTCTCATCAAAATTCTACAATTGTTTGAATATCATATACTAAAATGATTTTCAACCATACAGTGTTTTGTCTTCAAGTCGTAACACAAGTTGTTTTTATAATGGCACACCCTATATATTTTTACTTGTTACTGGCTTTAAAAAAATGGAACAACGTTGCAACGTCGCATTGAAACTTCAAAAATAAACTGAGTTATAAAATCTTGAAAGAGACCAACGAGAATATGAAACATATACGGGGTGTTCCATTTAAATAATACTAATTTATGTGTTATACCTCAAAAATAATACTGTCTAGTTGAAATTAATTTTAGTGTATGCTAGTTAAAAATTATAACTTTGGGTTCTTTTTTTTGTATTCCCATAACTAATGAGAAATTGGAGATCCCGCTCTTGGTGATTTAAGTAATATGTGGAACTATTATTTGATTTTCGTTGTAAAGTCTAGGAGAGAAGTCCGTAAACTGTTGCTCGGAATCACCGACAATGGGATCAGATCGTGGTGAGCTGTGAATACGTCAATTCATCCAGAGAAAAGACAAGCTATTTTATAATTTTATGATATTTGGTTAACACATTGAATTTTTATCTTTCTTTTTGTTTCAACTCGCTGTGACAATTCAAGTCTTTAATAATTTAAAATTGATATGATATTTTTCGATTCCTGGATTTCTACATCAATATTATCGACAGGGAAAAAATCAAAACAGTGTCAGACATAACATCAAAAGTGGGATATATGTAATTGTAAAATGTTATTTCACCGTTAGTAATTTTGTTACGATTTTAAAAGACAGTTTTAGACTTTTGCAAATGTCATTGTACCCCCGATTTTGAAAAATATACGGAACAAATTTTTAAATAATACTATCCTTTATAACTATATTTTTGTCAACAAATGAAAACAGGTTGTCATGGTAATATCTAATACTACGTTAAATATTGACTAACTTTATTGTTTCGTATTTTGAAACAACTAGACGTTACGTAAAAAAAATCTGCTTAGTTATTGATGAAAAAAGAATAACAATTTTGATCTGAATTAGTCCATCTGCTCTCTATGTGTGATTAAATTGGCAAAATACATTGAAAATGTTCTATATACAGGGCAAGTCCTCATTAATGATTAGAAATAAAAAAATCTCTCATCAAAATTCTACAATTGTTTGAATAGCATATACTAAAATGATTTTTAACCATACAGTGTTTTGTCTTAAAGTCGTAACACAACTTGTTTTTATGATGGTACACCCTATATATTTTTATTTGTTACTGGCTTTAGAAAAATGGAACAACGTTGCAACGTCGCATTGAAACTTCAAAAATAAACTGAGTTGTAAAATCTTGAAAGAGACTAACCAGAAATTGTAAACATATATGGGGTGTTCCATTTAAATAAAACTAATTTATGTGTTATACCTCAAAAACAATACTGTCTAGTTGAAATTAATTTTAGTGTATGCAAGTTAAAAATTATAACTTTGGGTTCTTTTTTTTTGTATTTCCATAACTAATGAGAAATCGGGGATCACGCTCTTAGTGATTTAAGTAACATGTCGAACTATTATTTGATTTTCGTTATAAAGTCTAGGACAGAAGTCGTCAAACTGTTGCTCGGAATCACCGACAATGGGATCAGATCGTGGTGAGCTGTGAATACGTCAATTCATCGAGAGAAAAGACAAGCTATTTTATTATTTTATGATCTTTGGTTAACACATTGAATTTTTATCTTTTTTTTTTCTTTCTTTCAACACGCTGTGACACTTCAAGTCTTTAATAACTTAAAATTGATATGATATTTTTCGATTCCTGGATTTCTGCATCAATATTATCGACAGGGAAAAAATCAAAACAGTGTCAGACATAACATCAAAAGTGGGATATATATAATTGTAAAATGTTATTTCACTGTTAGTAATTTTGATACGATTATAAAAGAAAGTTTTAGACTTTTGCAAATGTCATTGTACCCCCGATTTTCAAAAATATACGAAACAAATTTTTAAATAATAGGAGCCTTTATAGCTATATTTTTGTCTACAAATGAAGATAGATTGTCATGGTAATATCTAATACTACGTTAAATATTGAATAACTTTGTTGTTTTGTGTTTTGAAACAACTAGACGTTACGTAAAAAAATTCCCCTTAGTTATTGATGAAAAAAGAATAACAATTTTGATCTGAATTAGTCCATTTGCTCTATATGTGAAATCAAATTGGCAAAATACATTGAAAATGTTCCATATACAGGGCAAGTCCTCATTAATTATTAGAAATAAAAAAATGTTTCATCAAAGTCCTACAATTCTTTAAATAACATAACTAAAATGATTTTCAACCATACAGTGTTTTGTCTTAAAGTCGTAACATAACTTGTTTTTATAATGGCACACCCTATATATTTTTACTTGTTACTGGCTTTAAAAAAATGGAACAACGTTGCAACGTCGCATTGAAATTTCAAAAATAAACTGAGTTATAAAATCTTGAAAGAGACCAACGAGAATATGTAAACATATACGGGGTGTTCCATTTAAATAAAACTATCGATCGTGGTGAGCTGTGAATACGTCAATTCATCCAGAGAAAGGACAAGCTATTTTTGTAATTTAATTGTCTCTGTTTAGCATTGTGTTTTCATCTTTCTCTCTGTTCCAACTCGCTCTGGCTTTTCGTCTTTCATAATTTAAATATATTTGTATTCGTAGACAGGGAAAAAATCAAAACAGTGTCAGACAAAACATCAAAAGTGGGATATATACAACCGTAAAAAAATCTGCGTAGTTTTAATTAAAAAAAAAATAGTAAAATATTTTTTTGGAATTAGTGCTCTGTAATTTCAAATCTTCCGCCGACGTGAACTTGGAGACTGCATAGAGTGGATACTGTAAACGACAATAATATATCACGTTTGCTATGACTGTTCCATACACCAAGAGTGCCACCCTAAAAGAGCAAAACTACTATTGTCGTTCTTACTTTGTTTAATACGGTACCCAGACATGACCTGAGCGTCTCATTTCCGTAACAGAAAACTACTTTCAGTGATTAAAAATTGGATCGGGAGCAACTGTCCTTAGTCCGTAACTGTCGACTCATATCATACACGCTGTATATTTATAAATGAACCGTAGAATAAACAGTTATCGATGTTGTAAATAGTGAAATAGCGGGAATTTGTAAATTAAGTGGGTGGTTCGCCGCCACCACCACGAATAACATACTAACGATATATCAAACGAGGCCAGTGTCAGTCTGTACTTACTTGATTTTGAGAGCAGCTTTAGTCCGACGTCGGGCTTATCATTTGAAACTCCTTATCTCTGTGAAAATGTGATACGAGTAGATTCGAGACGAGTGATTTTTTATTTTCTCGTAGAATAACGCAGGCCTATTATGATTATTCACGACCAATTTGTAGGTTAGAGCGTCACTTGAATTTGATATTAATTTTTTGGTGCTATGACGAAGGACTGATGTGTTTAGGACACTTTTTGATTTCTGCACGGATCTGATTTTCTTCAAGTGGCGGTTTTGTATTATACCGAAGCTTGCTATGTACATACCGTAGGAGAATTGCGCTGAGAAATGTAAATTTGTTATTAGAGAACGTGACAATTATCCGGTAATTGTCACTAGATGTTTTGACTTAGTTATATTGTAGAAGAATCGTTATAATTACAAATGCTTTTGTACATAATTATTATGTAACATAATACTATCCTGAAAGTATTTGTAGTTGTAAATTTTTGAGAGTAATTATAAATTTATAGAAGCTATATATTATTGTATACATATACACTTTAGTTAATATTTTTTAGATTATTTTGTAATACAACCGAGATGTATGTTTCTTTTTTAATAAAAATAGTTGTATTGGAACCCCGTCTAGATTATCTACCCGGGGCGTACGTTCGATATGACAATAACTCGAAATTAGCTCCTGTGATCCTATTACCTGTGGGAAATCAAGCGAGATCCGGAACGTATCAAAAAGAAAGGAATTTTTCAAGTGAGGAGATAACCCTTACTTTGCAATTTGGCTAAAACTAGATTTACTAAAATTGCGCGATGTGGGCCGAGAATTATTACACGTAATTTATGCAACACATCCAAGTTTTGGCGAGATTAGGATAAGATATTTATAAAGTCGACGCAGAAACCGCAAATGATGCACCCATTAATCTCGTGAAAAATGACTAGAGGCTGGATAAGGATTAATAGTCACGGAAGGAAGGAATTAGCAGCAGATGTTCCGAGTACGTAGAATATATTAAATTTCCTCAAAAAGAAAACGACATCTAAATCTCTCAAAAGGGAGGATAAAGCCGCGGTTCTACATGGGCGTTATGGCCGGGAATTAATCTTCAAATAACATGCCGAGTTCCAGGAAAACTCGCGTGAGGGTGTTAAACTGTTTTTCCTCGATATTTGCTGTTGTTTCTCGACGAACCCGAACTAATAATTTAATGGAGCGATCGAAATTATAAACTAAAAACAAAAAAGTTAGAAAGGTAAGTACAAAACAACTTTCTTTAGCATCAAGGTAGAATGTGCCTCTTTTTCTTTAGAGTAAACTTGTCAGGTTTTTTGTCAGAATAAACTCGTTCAGTTTTCAAGCTAACGCAGTAATTGGAGTCAATATTGACGGTAAATTTCCGTACGTAAGTTTTATTTCGACTAGCTGTGCTTAATTTCTATTTTCTCGATAATATTACACGGAAAAGGTTTCAGAATTTCAGATTAAAATGATTAAGCAACGTCTAACAGTCGTAACAACCCGGCCCTGATTGGTCAGTTCAAGTTCAAGTTAAAAATCTCTGATGTAAGTAGTGTTAATTTATTAATATAAATTTTCACGAAGAGTGCGTTGGTGATTTTTTGTGATTAAGTGCATTGATGTGGCACAGATCCAAAGCAGAGTAGAAAAAATCTTTAGTTTTGGCTACTGTTAGACTTTTGAGATTTATTAGACTTTTTTTTTAATTTTCACAATAGAGAACACAATATAACTTTTCAACACCTTGTATGCTAAATAATTATAAAACTAATATTCAAGATACAGAGTGATCATAGAAGATGGTCAGTGAATTTAGCACTTGCTAACGTAAGTCTTATTTTGGCCCTATTAAACTTGTAAAAACTTGTAAAAAAGGTGTTAAATTGCAAATTTCTATAGTAACAACTTAAAAAACAAAAATATTGTCACTATTTACCTTCAACAAAGTTAGATTATAATTGATATTTGTGACAGTCGACGAGTGCAAGAAATTTCGAAGCCAACTTTGACATACGATCTTTTCTAACCACTTTGTATATAATTATTAAATAAAAAATAGCGAACAATAAGTTCAAATCCAAGTTATCAAAAATCTAATATTAAAAAAACGCTTCCCTTTTTATCAAATTTTGAATAAATACCTTAAATAAATAACATTTCTTTTAAAAGGTGTTAAGATAAAAAACCGAATACTACACCAAAATTTTAACACTGTATGTCAAATAGTGAAAAACAGAGTGATTAGAGAAAATCGCCCATCAAGTTGACTTTGGAAAATTTGTCGCTGAATTTTAAATGAGAATTTGCCGCTTCCTTATTTCATTTAAAAAATTATTACAGTCTGAAATTGCTACAAACAAAAATATTCTCACTTTTTACCTTCAAGAAAGTTAGATTATAATTGGCATTTGTGATAGGCGACAAGTAGTCAAAAATCATCACAAAGAGGCGGCAAAATCCATGAAATTTCGAAGCCAACTTCCATATACGGTTTTTATAACCACTTTGTATATTTTTCTTAAATAAAAAATAGAGAACAATAAGGTCAAATCCAAGTTACCAAAAATCTAATATTAAAAAAGTGCTTCCCTTTTTATCAAATTTTGAATAAATACCTTAAATAAATAACATTTATTTTAAAAGATGTTAAGATTAAGAAACCGAACACTACACCAAAATTTTAACACTCTGTATGTCAAATAGTGAAAAAACTGTAATACTCAGATATAGAGTGATTAGAGAAAATTCCCCATCAAGTTGACTTTGGAAAATTTGTCGCTGAATTTTAAATAAGAATTTGCCGCTTCCTTATGTCGTTAAAAAAATTATCATAGTCTGAAAATAATATAAAAATATTCTCACTTTTTACTTTCAAGAAAGTTAGATTATAATTGGTATTTGTGATAGGCGACAATTAGTCAAAAATCATCACAAAGAGGCGGCAAAATCCAAAAAATTTCCACGCCAACTTTGATATCCGATCTTTTATAACCACTTTGTATATTATTATTAAATAAAAAATAGCGAACAATAAGTTCAAATCCAAATTACCAAAAATCTAATATTAAAAATGTGCTTCCCTTTTTATCAAATTTTGAATAAATACCTTAAATAATTAACATTTCTTTTAAAAGGTGTTAAGATAAAATACCGAACACTACACTAAAATTTTAACACTCTGTATGTCAAATAGTGAAAAAAACTGTAGTACTCAGATATAGAGTGATTTGATTAGAGAAAATCGCCCATCAAGCTGACTTTGGAAAATTGCCATTGAATTGTAAATAAGATTGCCGCTTCCTTATTTCATTTAAAAAATTATTACAGTCTGAAAGTAATACAACATTATTGCTCGTAATAAAACTCAGTACCTGATTACAGGATGAAATAATAATAATGTAAGGTTGATCAAATCGTAAAAAATTATCAAAATATATACCTAAGTCTCTAACAGTTTCATAGGGCGGAAGAAAGCTCTGATCAGTTTTATAATCATAATTGATAGCGTTCATTTTTCGGCTGAAGGAAATAACTTTGCATTTAAGGAGACTCAATTTAAACTTATTGTTGATGCACCACTCATCTATAGCCTAACATTTTTTTTTTTTGTAAGAAAATAGCATCTGCAATTGAGTTAATATCATGGAATATTTACGCATCATCCGCAAATAACAAAACTGATTTTATTTCGCACTTTTGACATTTTCGTCCATTTTTCAACAATTTTGGAAAATAATCCAGAGTCTGGTCAGGTCTTTTTTAATTTTTTTCACATCCTAGATTCTGTTATTAGTTTCCATTCCCACTCGACAGAAGAACATAATTAGCCCCACCCACCCACCCTGTCTCCTTTTCAGGCATTTATTTTATCCGAACTGAATGAAATTAAGGATCTTATACTGAACATAAATAAAATTAGTCGTTATAATCAAAAAAGGGCGGGTGGGCGGGGCTAGTATTTGCTAAGACAAGCTGATTTTGGCAAATGACATACCTTCCAAAGAAAGTAGAGGGTGGGTGGGCGGGGCTAGTACTTGTTAAGATAAAACTGATTTTGGCACTTGACATTTGCGTTCATTTTTCAACTATTTTCGAAAATTGTCCAGAGTCTGGTCAGATCTTTTTTTAATTTTTTTCACATCCTAGAATTCTATTAGTCTCCACTCCCACTCGACAGAAGGACATAATTAGCCCCGCCCACCCACCCTGTCTCCTTTTCAGTGATGGATTTTATCCGATTTGAATGAAATTAATGATCTTATACTGAAAAGAAATAAAATAGTCGTTAGAATGAGAAGAGTGTGGGTGGGCGGGGCTAGTACTTGCTCAGATAAGACTAATTTTGGCAGATGACATACATTGCAAGAAAATAGAGGGCGGGTGGGCGGGGCTAGCATTTGATAAGAAAAAACTGATTTTGGCACTTTTAACATTTTCGCCCATTTTTCAACTATTTTCGAAAATAATAATCTAGAATCTAAAGTCTGGTCAGGTCTTTTTTAAATTTTTTTCACATCCTAGATTCTATTATTAGTTTCCATTCCCACTCGACAGAAGAACATAATTAGCCCCGCCCACCCACCCTGTCTCCTTTTCAGGGATTTATTTTATCCGAATTGAATGTAATTAAGGATCTGATACTGAACAGAAATAAAATTAGTCGTTAGAATGAGGAAAGGGCGGGTGGGCGGGGCTAGTATTTGCTAAGACAAGCTGATTTTGGCAAATGACATACCTTCCAAAGAAAGTAGAGGATGGGTGGGCGGGGCTAGTACTTGTTAAGACAAAACAGATTTTGGCACTTTTGACATTTGCGGCCATTTTTCAACTATTTTCGAAAATTGTCCAGTGTCTGGTCAGATCTTTTTTTAATTTTTTTCACATCCAAGATTCTATTAGTCTCCAGTCCCACTCGACAGAACGACACAATTAGCCCCACCCACCCACCCTGTCTCCTTTTCAATGATGGATTTTATCCGAATTGAATGAAATTAATGATCTTATACTGAAAAGAAATAAAATTAGTCGTTAGAATGAGAAGAGGGTGGGTAGGCGGGGCTAGTACTTGCTCAGATAAGACTAATTTTGGCAGATGACATACATTGCACGAAAATAGAGGGCGGGTGGGCGGGGCTAGCATTTGATAAGATAAAACTGATTTTGGCACTTTTAACATTTTCGCCCATTTTTCAACTATTTTCGAAAATAATAATCTAGAGTCTAAAGTCTGGTCAGGTCTTTTTTTATTTTTTTCACATCCTAGATTCTATTATTAGTTTCCATTCCCACTCGACAGAAGAACATAATTAGCCCCCGCCCACCCACCCTGTCTCCTTTTCAGGGATTTATTTTATCCGAATTGAATGAAATTAAGGATCTTATACTGAACAGAAATAAAATTAGTCGTTTGAATGAGGAAAGGGTGGGTGGGCGGGGGTAGTATTTGCTAAGACAAGCTGATTTTGGCAAATGACATACCTTCCAAAGAAAGTAGAGGGTGGGTGGGCGGGGCTAGTACTTGTTAAGACAAAACTGATTTTGGCACTTTTGACATTTGCGTCCATTTTTCAACTATTTTCGAAAATTGTCCAGTCTGGTCAGATCTTTTTTTAATTTTTTTCACATCCTAGATTCTATTAGTCCCCACTCCCACTCG